GGCAGCCAAGAACTTGCTCAGACGCCAAAAGCAGGTAGCCTTGTCGTCATCCGGGCACCAATTGGCCCATTGCTACAGCAGTATCGACGGTGATGGAGATGGTCCAGCAGCATCGACGATCTCGACACTGGCTGCTGACCTCATGCTCTCGGTCGTGCAATTCCCCCTCCCACGGGCCAGACATGCCGTTGCACAGCTGAACTCCAAGCTCGAAGCAAGAGAGCCAACCAGAGGGCTCCTGGGTGCGCTCCACCATGGCGGAGGGTGACTAAGCTGCATGCGTAGGTACTCGGAGGAGAGTGACCAATACCATCGTCGCTAACGTGAGACACTATGCAGAGGCGTACCTGTACGAGTAAAGGTAGAACTTCCCTGATTGCAAGACGAGTCCAATCCAAGGCAACCATGGTGGAGGGTGGAGCAGCTGCTCGTTGAGTGAGGCTGTGGCCGCACCGAGCAAGAAAAAATGGGTTATGTGAAGGAAGCGAAACTGGAGTAAGACGAGTTACTTTTGTACTCCGTACGGACTACACAGTACAGCATTAGAGTGTTCGTACGAGGGGATCTCGCACGAGTTACTCCGCACGCCCAACCTACAGTACACAGTACGTGCCTACACACAGTACAAGTCACAGGGGCATGCTGTGTTTGCTGGGCACGAGTACTCGGCCGCAAGCGGGTGGGCAGAGCTCAAGTCCATCCGTGGTCAACTGGGGATCGACCGGTCGCACGCCTTTCGGATTGACATCCCGATGTGCGGCATCAGCCTATCCTCCATCTCCACCCCCACCTCCACCTCCACCTCCACCCTCCAAGGACCTGTCATGAATGGGCCAAATATAGGAATCCCAGTGCGGGGATGATTCACTCGAGTCAGCCGCAACCTGCAGATAGTGCGTCTTCGGTAACCATGACACTAAAGATGCGGGTTGGTCCTCATCGAAACCCCCGCGTCATCGCCAATCGCCCGTTCCCACTTTCACGCACCTTTTTCTGCCAGCCACCCCCTCTCACCGGCCGCTTCGCCCTGCCAGTCGACCTGGGATTGCGGTGCTGCGGACGAGGACGACGTGGGGAATTAAGTAGTATCAATACATAGCGTGAATCTGCACAAGCGAATTCCTGGTAAACTCATGGACGACATGTGGCATGAATAAACAGTATGTTCAATGCCTCGCTCTTGGTGGATCATCCCCTATGGCTGGTGGCTATACAACTTGTTTGCGAAGAGCTTAACAAGGGACGGGAGGCACCACGGTATCCAGAACTGTCATTAATCTTTGCTGGATCATTTTCTGGAGTGGTTGTACTGCCTCAGCGGCTACGTGCACTGTGGTATGTACAACGAATATGCATCCGCTGACCTTCTTAGCAGGCCAGGCTGTGGTGGAGGTCGGGTACTCGTAATTGTGAACCGGATTGAATGGTGAGCCACAGAGCCACAGCCCCAGCCACACAACTCCTGCTAAGAATAATATCGTCTATCAGCCCCAGCCAATTTATGTGACTGTAGAACAGCTCATCCCTGACGCTGCGAAGTGAGATAGTATGCGTGCAACCAATGCCTTATCTTCTGATGCACATGATGCTCGCACGAGCGAATTGATTGAACACTCAGCAGCCAAGACTGAGTGCTCGGGATTGATCCGACGTTCACCCGACACAATCCTCATTGGTGAGTGAGTTGCGGAGTTCTGATTTCCGTGCTGTGTCATAAAGTTTGGAATTTTCGCCCAATATGGTAATTCCTCAATTCCCTAAGTCGGCAATTTTCCTCCACACCCTCTTCTTCCCGCTTTCCCCCACCTCATCCACCTTCTTTTACCCCTGCCCCACTGCTCCTTATATGAATACCCGCCGCACCCTAGCTTTTCCCACTGAATGAGCCAGAACAGCGCCACTCAGACCCACCCCTCAATGGCAACGCGTCCCGTGCCAGAGCGAATATCAACTGTTACGAGATCACCCCGCTTCGGGAGGCGGCTGGGGCCGCTTTACCCTCATCCGCCCCTCGCCTGCCCCGTGCGACGGCTGGGTGCGTGCTCACCCCTTTACTCCGACCACGTCCAAGGCACGGCAGATGACTGGTCAGCCCTTGCATTCCACTCAGGTTAGATATGCAAATTGGCGGGTGCTCTCGCGCTTCAAATGTTGGAGTTGCACAGGCTGTGGATAGCCACAAGATTGGCTGTTGCGACAAAGATTTCAGCGATGATCCCGGCGATAATTACAGCGAAGACTCCAGCGAAGACTCCAATGGAAATTCAGCGAAGATTTCAGGCGTAGTTTCAGCGAAGATTGCAGCGGGCATTCCGGCAACGATTGCTATGAGCATCTTTTGACAGCCGCCGCTTAGATTGACAGAGCTTCATGATAGGATTTTCAGCAGGATTTATTTCATGGCGGTTGTTATTGAGCCATACCAATATCGGTGACGTTCAATAAGCCAACGATGACGTGGCGATGCCATGGGGCTACTCCGGCTGAGACTGATTTGGCTCCTGTGGCTCCTGTGGCGCCCGTGCTCTTCTGTGCTTGTACTCGTATACCTCAATGGGCAGGGGAATTTGACATTCGCTTCACTCATGAGCTCCAGCAATGCTCACGTGAACAGCGGGACGAGGAGCACATCTCGAACCCCGCTCCCGTGATCCAGCCCGTCACCAGTGCGCGCGGCCCTTGAAAGGCTTCTTTTCCGGAGCCAGCCGCCAGGGCGTGCTGGTCTCCACAACCCATGTTGCATCTATCACGAGATCAACGGCTTACAAAGTTCACACTCATCATCGTGGTTGTACTACTCGAAACTGTCTACACGCGATTGGCACTTGGCTTGTTGTTGGAGTGTAGTTCCTGAATGCTGTTTCAGAAGGCAGACAGTGTCTGTCCAGTTTGCTCTCAGCGTCGATCGCCCAAGCCCTGGCCGTTGGCTGGCGGCCACATCCGAACCCAGCACCACAGCGTCACCTATTTGTGGTGTGTCGTCATGAACGAACCGCCGCCACCACATCTACCGCCCATCTGCCACATCCGTGTAGTGGTGACGTCTTGGACACGACAGAGCGGGTTAGATTGGTGTGACAGCGGTCGGTAAGCTGTAGAGCGGTGGAGAGGCTGAGTGGTAGCGGGGTAGCAGAATAGGTCTCAAGTGAGCCCGGTTCACCATCGGAAGCCGATTTTTAGGATTGTCAATCCTGGTTAAACTTGTCACGGACGACACTTGCTGATACGGATAACCATGGTGAACCGGAAAAGGGCCACTTCTCTCCATGGCGGGCTTTGTGAAATAGAAGTTGGCGAGTTTGTGCAATTTTTGCAGAATCTGACGTCGTCAGACCCGGGCTGTCGTTGATGTCGTAAGAGCCCGTCTGGTACGTAGGTTCGTAGGTTATGGTGTGCGGCGGCCTGGGTTAGTGGAGGAGTCAGTTGGTGTTGGATGTTCGCCGTGAGGGGCTCGAGGAACAGGAAGCGTATCGCCGTAGAAAGAAACATGAGTTGTTAGGAGGGCCAGACTGCGGCTGGGAAGAAGTGAGGCTGAACCACGAAGGGAGGCGCGGGGCAAGGGGCCACCTGAGAGTCCCTCTTGGCGCTGGAGGGGTACCCGTACGACCGTGATAAGCTTATCTACTGTAGGTAAGCATAACCATGATAAGCTCAAGCGTGTGACCGTGATCAGATGCCGCCTCATGCACGGTACCTTTTCAGAATCTGAATACATGCACGGTACTTTTTCAAAATCTGAATTCATGCACGGTACTTTTTCAAAATCTGAATTTCATGCACGGTACTTTTTCAGAATCTGAATTTCATGCACGGTACTTTATCTTGACACCACGGCAGATGAATTTCTACAACTGCCGTGGCTGGGACAGTACACTTTCGCCCAGCACCAATCCACGCACATCCGGTTGGGTGCCGTTCAGTGCTTGCAGTGGGTGAATCAAAATACGTGTCTCTGTAACGATCCCACAGCAGGTAACACAATGAAGGCTCCTCAGTCTGCCCGCGTGGTTTTGATCGACTTTGGTCTCGCTTCAGAACCTTTCACCTGTTTCATTGGTTGTGTCATATCCGTCAGGAGAGACGCCAGGTCGGTCGATCTTCAACACGGCCAGTGCCGTAGCACTCGGAACAACTGGCCATCTCAAGGGGCGTGTTGGCCTGCTGAAAGAACTGTCGTAGGAAAGAGGTTTTTGGGTGGTATGAACGAGGCGAGATGTGTCAGAGCAAGGGTAATTTATAACTTTGCGTGAACCTTTACCTTGGCTCCTTACTGGGCTGGTGGGGTCGAGGTCGGCTGAGACTGGCGCTCTTCTGGCCCAGCCATGCATTCTGGAGCTGGCTGCTGCGCATATCAACTCGTAAAGCGGCTGGCTAGTTTTGTGACCCATGCTGACATCCTCACAATCGTGAACGGGCCGCTTCAAGATGCTTCGTTATCAGCCTGTTCGGATCACTAAGCTGCATCGATGAGCAATCTCGGTGTCAAACTTGCTACTACAATTTGAGACACGTTGACTCGAGGAATCATGTCCTGACTCAGCAGATTTGCTGCCAATTGCTCAATGATGGGTTGTCCTAATACGGCACAGGCTTCAACAAGTTGGTGTTTAGATTTCACGAGAAGGCTAGTATAGCGGCAATACAGTTGGACTCAGGTTCGCGAGGACGTTGGCTGCCCGGCATAGCGAGGGCAAGGTTTACCATGTAATCATCGACCGCATACATGTCAAGACAGCACAACCCGCCAGTTGACAACTCGCTCACTCAACAAGCGGGCAATGAACGCTTGGTTTTGAACAACATGGTCCTCCACCGCCGCCTACCCTTCTAGCGCTGAAGACCACCACGCGCTTCTTACATGGCCCCTGCTTCCCCATTCTGCGACACCGTAACGTCAACTCCGGAAAGACTGTCCATCTTTCCGAATGGGCCAATATGAAATTTGTTGGACCAGACGATCGGAGGGAGATCGCGCAAGTATCTCTGAGCAGCTTCGTCAGATGCTGCTGGAGAAGAGAAAGCTCTGCCCTCCTCGAACAGGAGTTCAGAGTTGCACTGGGGAATCACCATTCACGACAATTCATGAGTACCATCTATGGTTGTGCGAGGTGTTTCCGACTTGGCAAGATCCAGATCGATCAGATATTGAGGAGTGGAGAGAACTTCAAGATAGGGTAACGAAGTAGGATGGGCCATGGCTTGCCCTCTGTGTTCACGCATGGCGACCTGAACCCCTTCAATATACTCGTCCGCGGAGCTCAGGTCGTGGCGATCATTGACTGGAAGTTCTCCGGGTGGTACCTGCATTACTGGGACTTCACTTCTGCTTGGCTTGGAAATCAAACCCGACAAGCCTGGCAAGAGGTGATTTCACATTTCCTTGAAACCGACTACGAGCATCTCGGAATGGAGAGCACGCGTCACTGGTGGCGAGAAATTGGAACACCTCTAACATCTCTACCCAGCAGACATACTTCAGGCTGAGGGTAATGTTTCCTTCTCTTCGAGCATGTCACACATTGGCTTCGATAGAGCCATATCTTCGCTTTTCGAATATCTCTCAGCGGCAACCTTTTTCGCCACATAGTCACGGGCTATTACCTCCACTTATCCTGTGGTCCAATCCAATTGCGCCGTCCCGAATTCCTTACCATCATTTACCACTCTCGATATTGCATCGAAATTACGGCAAGACTTGTTGGTAATGACGGACTGGACTTGCTGGAGAGGTAACCGGCTCTGGCACTGGCTGGAAGACACGATGGGAAAAAGGGCTATGGCGGTGGCAGAGCTGAATGGCAGCGAAGATCACGGCAGCTCAAACTCCATCCGTCAAAGTGTCACCTAACTGTTCTGGATGTGCCTCGGGGTCAAGAGCTTACCGCAATATTGATATTCTCCGCCGGTGATGTACTCTGTCTACGAGCCTTAGCCACCCACGAGCCACTCGTCCTCAGCAACCACTTCTCCTCACTGACCACTTCTCTTCAGCGACCACTTGACCTCACCACCACTCATCCTTACAGCAGATCACCCTCATAACCACTCATCCTCATTACCGACTCCTCACTAGCAAGTTATTCCCACAATCAAGGATGTGGAGCTGATGTACAGTAGAAAGCGGAGTTTCGAGCATACCGCTTCCTATTTGGTCACGTCGTGGCTGGCACTTCTCGATTCCACGTACAACTATTACCACGCCCTTCACCCATAAGATGGATACCGATCCTCTTCCTTCCTTCGTCGAGCACGACGCTTTGTGACCTACAATGGCGGTTGCGTAAGTTGAAAGTCATTCAATTTATGCAATTACTAACACCACGCAAAGCTTTTACGCTCCTCCCGACCCTCTCGTCACGCGTTTATCGCAAGCCAACCAAAACCAGACTCCATGGGACGGGTCACCACCATTCCCGTCCACTGAATCGGTATTATTGCATCTTGACGGCACAAGGGTGACGGAGAAAGTTATTGGACAAGGTTCTACAGGCGTTATCATTGAGCAGGGACAGTATGCACTCACGATCCCTCATATTTCAAAGTATACCAAGATCGATGGCGTACCTGTGGAAATCGGGTCTTTAACCCCTAAGGAAGGCGACTACGATGATAGACAACCTCTGATCGAATCGATAGAGGTTGAGAAAGCTATTTACAAAAGGTTCGGTGACCACGATGGAATCGTCCCCTGCCACAATCTCGAATCGACCGATATCTCGAACCAGATGGATCTGTTGAATGGCGATCTCCGGCATTATCTAGCGGAACACAGGCCAGACCGTAGAACACAACTGTCCTGGTTAAACAAAATAGCACACACTATGGCCTACATTCATGAGCATCGCGTCATCACCGCCGATGTTCGATTAGACAACCTCTTACTTGACGACACGCTAGCAGTTCACTTTTGCGACTTTGGGGAATGGACACTGATGCCCTTTGATTGGGATCTGGATGGCACTGACGATCTTGGGTTTTCGGTTTCAACCGACATCGGACAGTTGGCGCCGCAATGTACGAGGTCATTACCGGGCTCAGGTGCAAATTCGACCTGACGCAGGACCGGAAGGAGCCAGAGCATCTGTACACGTGTCCACAACGAGACAGCCTTCCATCGACCAAAAATATATGGTTAGGTCATATCATTGAGAAATGTTGGACTCAGGCATTCAAATCTGCTAACGAGCTTGCAGCAGAGCTGGATCAGGAAAGTGCCTCCCGAGCGAAGTCAGACGGGGAAGTAATTATCTCGCGATGGCGAGATAGAAGCAGCTGTGCCCAGAAGTTGAGTATCATGTTATGAACCGCCTACGGGTTCAGGAAGGGCATAATGTCTGTCCCTAGACCAAGCCTGAGCAAGCAGACACTCCGACTGTGAGCAGAGTGGACTTTGGCTCGAGCGTACAAGCTAACAAACATCATGTCCACCCCGAATTACTGTGGCTGCAAGATCATCCTCTCGGCACTAAGGGACCATCTAAAGTGCACCGAAACGTCGAATATCGACCTTGCGTGCCTATAACCTCGAACCCCCTGATGTCGAGTATCAACACCGTCGACGGAAAGATGTGGCTCACGGTTGAAGAAGACATAAAGAGCCAATTTTAGGAATTGTCCTGGCCATCGATTGGAGAAGATTTACAAACCGAAAATTGGGGGTAGAGTCCCTGTGAAATGTTGCACAGGACCGCCAGTGGTGCAGCCGGTCACGAAGCTCGGTGCCCAGGCTCGCCAGGTCCCGCGGAGACTGCACCAGCCGCTACCTTGACCACGCACGGCGCACTCGTTACCACGGTTTAGATGAAGCTGCGAGCGCCCCGGATCAATGCGCACTCGACGATGCCGTTGTTAGCGGCGGTGTGGTGGTGCAGTGGTGGTAGCGAGCTGAGACGGTGCAGTGAGCAGTGCGGGCTATCCTGCTGTCACGACTTCTGCCTGGAGGGGGCGCGAGGGGATGAGCAGAATGAAAGGTGAAGCACGGATCTGACACTAAGTCGCGGCGGCGGCAGCAGCAGCAGCAGCAGCACGCAGCACGCAGTGGGAAGGAAGAGAGAGGTCCGCGTCTACATCTCTTGAATCGAGGCTTACTGAGATATCTGTATTCAAATGAAAGCATTTTCAGTAATACTTGTCAAGGTCAAGATTTTCGAGAGGAACATGCTACACAATGCAGTCAATGTGTTCTGTCGTTCACAATGTGCGTTGCCTTGTGTCGTATTACGTGAAATCCTGGTTGAGGGCGTGGGCTGCTAAGGGCGTGGGCTGGAGGAGGTGTAGGCTGGAGGTGTAGGCTTTAGATGTAGGCCTTAGGCGTGGGTTACGGGTTTAGGCTGCAGGTGTAGCCAGTAGGTGCAGGTTGGAGGTGTAGACTGTAGTTGTTGGCTCTACCTATTAGGTTTAGGCTGTTGGTGTCGTCGCTAGGCTTTGGACTAGAGGCCCTAGGCGCGTCTTTAGACTTAGGCTTTAGGCTTCCGGGTAGCGGGCTACGGGCTCTGTGGCTCCTCCTACCCACAGTAGCGGGCGGACCAGGGCTCCATGGCCACGAGTGGAGTATGTACGAGTTCGAGTAATCAAGAGATATAGTCGATAGTGATGAACGATAGGCATTGTTCACTACCTGATAAGTTGTGCTACACAGACTCAAACTATAAAAAAACTAAACGAGCGTAATGGTCTGAGTTCTGTGTAGCCAGTGAGTTGGTGGTTGCATGCGGATGCGCGTGTCTGTACTTGTGTGCATGTGTTGTGTAACACCTCCCAAAACCGAATCCAGCGGCTCCATTTTCCATCCTGTTGTCCACTTCCGTCCTGTTATCCAACGCATCATACCTGTATATACCACAGTTGCTCCTGGCTGATACTCATACCGGAGACTTCGCCTCCGTCCAAACCCAAGCCCAAACCCAAACCCCCAAATCCAAAAAGCCTTCACTGTATGTCCCCTCCAGAATTGTGACGATGACGACAACGACCTTGCTTCTGGCTCAGCCCAGCACAGTCGACTTACTCCTCCTTTTCGCCAGACGCGGCTTCGGCGGAGATGTTGAGCCCTTCGAGCGACACCACACAGATAGTTAGTCTTGTTTGTCACTGCTAACGAGTCACTTTGGGCTGTACACATACTGGGATCAGCACTCGCAGCAACACTGGCACCGGCACCAGCACCAGCACCAGGAGCGTCCTGCTTCGAGCCCGAGTTCGCCTCTGGCTCTGCCTTTTGAGCCCGAGCCTCAGTTTCGGTCTCAGCTTTCTTAGCGATCGGCCCGTGGACGGGGCAGGGACCTTCGTCCGTCATCTCGAAACGAAGGTTAGTGGGACCCGTGAGTTTCGCCCTCATCTCGTCGACGCAGGGGGCGCCCCAGCAATCGGGGTACGTGGTCCTAACAAGGGCGTAAACTTGGTCTTGGGCCATGGCGATGGCTGAAGGGTATGATAGAGCGAGATTTTGCGATCTACGAGGTTGTCCAACTTGAGAAACGGGGGAGTTTGAAGAAGGGGATGTAGATTTCTTGTTGGGGGGCCGAACTGAATGGAATGGAACAGCTATAGGTCCTTGACCGCTGATCTTGGGGCGAGCCCAGCACGGCACGGTGCGTGGGAGCACATCCCCCATAGGCCGGCTTGAATCTTAGATTCGCGAAGGCGGGGTGAGATCACCCTCATCACCCGCCACATGCGGCAGTGTCCATTTCAGCTGCCAGTACTCCCCAGTAGCAATACGGTCGGGCAAGGGCAGCATAGATCACACTAGACTTCATGCGGCCGCATACGTTTGTGGTACAGTGCTCCACAGTACTCGGAGCATTAAGAGTACGGCCGGGCAAAGGCAGCTACGCAGCGTACGCGTCAGCTCCAGTGCTCCAGAGTACGAATACGGCGGAGCAAATAAGCAATATCGAAACTTGTTCATTCTGCTGGCCTGCGCTTGCCTGCGCTGGCCGCGTGCTGGGGTCCTGCCCCTTGTATGTAACAGAACAACTGTGGTAGCAGCTCAAGGTCTTGTCGCTTCGTAACTTCGTGTAATCGTGAATTCGTGAATTCGTGTGATGCATGTGCTTCGTGTGCTGCAAGTGCTCATCTGGCTCGAGTGCCCGTCTGCCTCGACTGCGTCTCCCAATCACTATGCCAGAAAAACGTTTTGCACGACCACACTGTGCCGGATTCGTTCTTACCGCTTGGGCCTACCGGTCGTGCGCACACCCAAAACATTCGACCGGCGTTCAGATGGGGTTTCTTCACGGTATCCTTTTTGCACGGTTCGTTGTGATCGCACAAGGGCGCAACAGGCGGGGCCAACAACTTGCGCCACGAGTCTTTGGTTTCAGCAGCAGTGGGTTTGGCTGGGGGTTTCGGGGCGACTTCAGTCTTCCCTTCGACATGTCCGTCTTCGTTGTTGAGGAGGTTGCTAATCCAGATTCTGGTGGTGGCTGACTGTTGGGGCAATGTCGGGCCGGCCTGGGCGTCCACTGCTGTAGCCACTGTCATCACGTCGTCTCGTTCGCTGCGTTGGGCGAGTGGTAAGGAAAGTAACCCCTGATCGTCTTCTCGTCTCGGCCCCGTCTTCACCTTGGCCTCTGGCTCCGACGGAAGTGAGGCCCGCGAGAAGAAGTCCGGTAGGGTCTGCTGGTCTTTGAGCTTCGTCGAACTCGTCCGTCTCAGACCCTTTGACGGTTTCTGTCCTGGCCCCTTCGAAGTTGCCCGTCCCAGATCCTTTAAAATGGTCTGCCCCAGACCCAGCCTTCTCTTAGCTGGACGACTTTCGCCGACAGTCGTTCCTGGGCGTTTACCACAACTGGACCCCGAACACCAGGCATCATCGTGGGAGGGCGCCGATGGCATATCTGTTTGAACGAGTTGTAAATCATCTTGTGCAGCCCCGGGCTCTCCGTCGACGGGTCGAGGTATCCGGTCTCTTGGACTGTATGGCGGAAGTTGCCTAAGAATGCTGTCTATATCTGGAGTTGGAGACTGTTGGGGATACCGTGGTGCCATAGTCTGTTTGTGGAAGGCTGGAGGTGGTAGCTCGCCTGTAGTGCGCGGCGCAAGCACTTGTAGACTGCTCTCCACCTTTGGGGGAACCGGCTGTCGTGTGAGCATGTCTTTGATGCTCTGTCTGTTACGGAATTCACCTAGAAGTCTGCCGGACAAGGGCAGGGCATGTTCCGCTCTCCGGGCCTCTTGACGAATCCCACGCACGAACATACCCGGTGGGTTGACCAGGTCCAAGATATGTCTTTCGATACCATCCACGACCACCGTATCTTTCAAATCAGCATAGACCGGACAATGATCAGACCCCATCAGCCCCTCTTGGATGTTGGAGGCACTGAACCATTCCTTCATGTCGTGGTTGCATATGATATAGTCGATCCTCGCCCCATAATTTCCCGGTCGAGCATTGATTCTGGTCTCCCAGCAGGTGTACATGCCAACGCGGCCTTCGTGGAAGGATCGACAAACGTCCCACAAGATAGGCTCCCTTCCTGTATCTCTCGGCCCATATATTCTGCCTCCCACTAGAAGATGGTTGAGCCACCTCCGTGGCGGAGTGGAAATCCATTCGACTGGATCGAATTGAGGCTGGAGCATGGCCTTGCCGATGTGCGCAGTATCAATTTCCTCGCGGCTGATATTGAGGTCGCCTGCTAGAACCACTCTCTTGCCCATTTTGACCAGATTTCGGATCCTCACCTCCAGGACCTGCAGGAAGTTGAGGCGATAGTGAGTGCGTGATTCATCCCGCTCGGCAGGGAAATAGGTGGCAATGAGCACAAATGCTTGGAATTCGACTAGGACGCATCTTCCTTCCGAGTCGAGGCTTTCCAGTTTGTACCGGTGATCGGAGAGGGCCGCGGCATCAGGGTATCCTCCAATCTGCTGTTCTTTCGCCAATTCTCGATAAGGCACAGAAGTGCCAGGCACAGTCAGGCAGCCTGTGAAGCCCTCTTCCACTCTGATGGGAGTGCACTTCGCGTTTCGAGTGTAGACCACAACACCAGAGTAGCCTGCGCCTTGTCAGCATAGAAAACTACAAACTGCTTGCAGCGCACCTTTCTTCTCCTTTGGAAAGCTCCAGTAGCTCTCCCACCCATCCAGCAGAACCATGTCATCCGGAAGGTCTTTCCGCTGGACCTTTGCCTCCTGGAAGATCACAATGTCTGCCTCTAGGATGTCAAACATGTTCTCCATGGTCTTAGCGCTTTTCCATGGCTGGTGTTCAAGCAAGGTCCGCATGCCATTGACATTCCAAGTCGTGACGCGCAGGACCATCCTCGCGTTTTGGTAGGGCGAAGTAGTCAAAGGCCGAGAGGGGGAGATTTAGGGAGGGTAACAAGTTGGACGGTGAGGATTGAGCAGTCGGAGGGCGGAAGAGGGCGCGCGAGAGAGAGGGCGTGAGGGCGTGAGGGCGAGTCTGCAAGAGCACAGGAGCTCGAGCTCAACGAGAGGTCGAGCGCGAGCGACGCATGCATCAAAGGACCTGGACAAGGACAAGTCAAGGTCAAGACGAGTTGAGGGTGATTGGAGCGACACGACGGCCTCGACTGCGACAATGGTGAGGCTGCGGTGGCAGGTGGATGGTGGCGACGGCTTCAGGGTGTCACTGGCTGCTCCGAATGTGACTCCTCACATTCGGCTGCGTCGTCGCTTGTCACTGGACGCCTGTTGATGTCGTCGTTGCCATTGACGTAATCGATCTGGCTGCGTTTGGAAGCGCGTGTCAATCCACAATCCACAATCCACAATCCACGCCCACTTTCTCCTGCACATTCGCGCAGGCGAGAAGAGGAAAGTGTGAGATAGTTCACGTCAGTGCTTTCGCCCGTTTGCTGTGGCTTCAAGTGGCTTCAATCGGCTTCAATCGGCCCTTTCAGTGCCAACGCTTGGAGCTTGGATCTGTCATTGTGCAACTCCTCGAACTGCCCCGCCACAGTTGAAAGTGGCTGTGCGTCACAATATTCGAGATTCAATACTTGACCATTGCTACACGCCTGTCGATACACGACCTTCGTCTCTGACACTTCCAGCTTCCCTCACGTCTGTCAGATCGGCTGCGACACGCCGTCACTGTATTATAGCGCTACCTGGAGTAGCCCGGCTGCACCATATGTGCCTTCGGTTCAGATAACACCTTCGACCGTCCCTGGCCCGGGCACCGGCCACGTTCGCCCAAGATGCTGGAGGGTCTTGTCGCCAACTTGCTCAACCGCTTTCTGGGCATGTACGTCAAGAACTTCGACCCCAAGCAGCTCAATGTCGGCATATGGTCGGGCGATGTCAAGCTGCGCAACCTCGAATTGCGGCGAGAGGCGCTGGACCAGTTGCGGCTCCCAATCAATGTGGTGGAAGGCCGGCTGGGCGAGCTGACGCTGTCCATTCCCTGGTCCAACCTGAGGGGCAAACCGGTCAGAGTCAACATCGAAGACGTCTTCCTACTGGCGGCGCCCAAAGAGGAGGATGACTACGATGCGGAAGAGGAGGAGAAGCGGGCTGTGGCCGTCAAGCTGGAGAAGCTCGAAAGTGCCGAACTGCTGAAGGAACAAAACACCGAGGCGATGAGCGCTGAAGAGCAGCAGAAGAGCCAGAGCTTCACTCAAAGCTTCGTGACAGCCATCGTCGACAACCTGCAAGTCAGCATCAAGAACGTGCACGTGCGGTACGAAGACTCGATCGCAACTCCCGGCCACGCCTTCGCAGTCGGCCTGACTTTGAAGGAAATGAGCGCCGTGTCGACCGATGCAGACTGGCAACCGACTTTCATCCAGTCCACGTCGGGCACCACCCACAAGCTGGCCGTGCTCAACTCGCTCGCGCTGTACTGGAACAGCGATGCAGATCTCTTTGGCACAGGCAAAGGTGGCGACGTGGGTGCCGAGGCCCAGGAGATTGATAAGGATGAACTGATACGTCGTTTCAAACAAGGCATCGAAGAGACGGCCGGTCATCAGTATCTCCTCAAGCCAGTCAGTGGCCGTGCTGGAATCGAGCTTGACAAGACCGGTCACACGGACAAGCCCAAGACCAAGGCACGTCTCCTATTCCAGGAGCTCGGCTTCATCATCGATGAGGATCAGTATCGCGACGCTCTGATGCTGGTGGACCTCATGCACTACTTCGTCCGCCACCACGAGTACAAGAAAAATGCGCCAAAAGAGACTCCCAAGGAGAACCCTCGAGCTTGGGTCAAGTTCGCTGGACAAGCCGTGCTGGACAAGATCCATGAGCGAAACAGAAAATGGACCTGGGACTACTTCAAGGAACGCCGGGACACGCGTCGCAGATATATCGAATTGTTCAAAAAGAAGAAGAAAGAGCAAAAGTTCACGGAGCAAGAGACAAAGGACATGACGCAGCTGGAGCACGACCTGAGCTACGAGGATCTGCGCTTCTGGCGGTCTCTTGCCCGGAGCCAACTGCGGAAGGAGAATGTTGGCGTCAAGAAGCCTCCGCCGAAGCAGACGTGGTCATCTTGGGTCTGGGGCTCCAAACCCCAAGAGAAGCAAGAAGATGACGACGCCGGCATGACCGAGCAGCAACGTAAGGAGCTCTACCAGGCCATCGATTGGGATGAGAAGAAGGCCCTCGCCGACGCCGTTGACCTCCCTCGTGAGACCATCAAACTTCAGGTGGAATCGAGTCTTAGGACCGGCAGCTTCACGTTGAAGCGAGACCCGCACGGACAGTCAAACGATATTCTCAAACTGGTTTTCGACAATTTCAAGTTGAAAGCCCTCCAACGGCCTGATTCACTCCTGGCCGACGTGGCACTCGGAGGGTTTCGTGTCTACGACGGCACGACTGAAGGCACACTGTTTCCACAGATTGTCAAGGTCAAAGGCGCTGAAGAACAGCCCAAGGAAGGTGTCAGAGAGGCAGACACTCAGACACTCGACGGCGACGACGATTCAGAAGCTGGCACAACAGAGAAGGCAGAGGAGGATGACAGCTTGTTCCACTTGGTCTTTGAGAACAACCCACTCGATGAAAGTGCAGACACGAAGATTGATTTGAGGCTGAAGAGTCTCGAATTCATTCACAACCCGAAGTTCGTGGTCGAGATTGTCAAGTTTTTCAAGCCACCCGAACGCCAAATGGAGTCCATCGGTGCCTTGCTCGAGACTGCGGGTGCGAGTATCGAAGAAATCCGCCAACAAACCCGTGCCGGCCTCGAGTTTGCCCTGGAGGAGCACAAGACCATCAACGCAAACCTCGATATCCACGCCCCCATCTTCATTATCCCGGAGAGCATTACAGAAGAAAGCACGCTGTGCATGATTCTCGATGCCGGTCACGTCAGCCTTAACAGCGAGCTTGTCGACAAGGACACGATGCGGGACATCCATTCAAAGCACAAGCAACAATATACGGAAGACGACTACAAGCAGCTCGAAGGCCTGATGTACGACAAGTTCCATTTGAAGCTCGAATCTACCCAGGTGTTGATAGGCCCGGGCATCGAAGCAACAAGGGCACAGCTGGAGGCCCAAGAGGACTCGCAGAACATGCATATAATCGATCGTATCAACATGGCTTTCCTCTTGGAAAATTCAATCATACCCAAGGCCCCGGATGTCACCAAGATCCGCATCTCGGGGTCGCTACCTGTTCTTCACGCCTCCATCTCGGACAAGAAGTACAAAAACTTGATGAGGCTGATAGATGTCGCAATCCCAAAGTTTGAGTCTACAGAGCCGCAGCCAAATGGCAACGCGATCGAATCACGGCCTCAGCATGTCGTCGAGGAGCAGCCCGCCTCAAAGCGGAAATCCGTTCAGTTGCTCGAGGCTAAGGACTTGCCTGTTATTGACCATGATTCAGACACCGAAGACAATCCGCCTGAGACACCCAAGGAGACCGACACTCCCGCCAACATTCACCAACGCAATTTTGAGATCAAATTCACGGTGGAGAAGTTGCAGGCTTCGTTGTACAAGGCTGATCCCGACGGCAAGAAGCCGGACCAGCTGCTGGTAGAGCTGGTTGCGGAGCACTTCTACTTCGACTTCTACCTTCGCCCCTACGACATGGTGGCAGAAGTGCTCCTTCGCTCGCTCAGTGTGGACGACCACATCGAAGAGCAACCACTCCCAGAGTTCAAACAGATAATATCTTCCAAAGGCTTCAAGGCCGACGATGGGAAAGACTTGCTCAACGTCAAATTCGTCAAAGTCAACCCAGCATCGCCCGAATTCACCTCCACCTACGAAGGCATCGCAACGAATCTCGACGTTTCCGTATCGACCATCAATGTGGTAGTCACCAGACGTACGCTTCTAACACTCCTGGATTTCGTTCTTACAACATTTGCAAGTCCCGGTGGGCAACAACCCATTGAAGGAAAGCAAAACGAGGACGAACCGGAGGCCGTTCAAGAATCCCCTCAGCAGAGTGCGCCGGCAGACAAGATCAGAATCAAAGCCGAGTTGAGCAGCATTGCACTGATCCTCAACAACGACGGCGTGAGGCTGGCCACACTGTCGTTGAACTCCGGGGACGTCGGCATCTTCCTCAATGCAGGCACGATGCAGATCAAAGCACGATTGGGCAGCCTGTCCTTGGTCGACGACATCAATGAAGGCGCGCCAGAAGATTCACCCCTTCGTCGACTAATCGCCATCGAAGGAGACGACCTAGCCGACTTCAAGTACCAGACCTTCGATTCGTCTCGACGCGACTATCCGGGGTACGATTCGGGCATCTATCTACGGTCCGGTTCCATCAAGATCAATTTCATGGAGGAGCCCTTCCGCAAGATCATGGAGTTCGGAGTCAAGTTCGGGAAGATGCAAGCTATCTTCAATGCCGCGAGGCAGGCTGCTGCGGATCAAGCGCAACAGGTACAAGAGAGTGCGCAGAAGATGCACTTCGATGTTGTCATCAAGACGCCAATTGTAGTTTTCCCGGGAGTCATGGTTGACGACAGGCCACGGGACCTTCTTACAGCTTACTTGGGTGAGATCTATGCCAGCAATAAGTTTGTGAGAGTGCAGGGTCAGCGGGATGGACCCCTCGTCAACAAGCTCACCGCAGGCATCAGGCATATTCGCCTCACCAGCGAATTTCACTACGACAACGGGAACTCACAAGAGCTGGAGATGATTGATAAGGTTGATCTCGATTTCAAGATTAGATATCTTGAGCATCAGTCCGGGCTCGAGAGACCAGATCTTGAGATTGAGGGATCCATGTCGCCTATCAATCTCAGAGTATCGCAGACTCAAGTCAAGTTCCTGATGGAGTTGTCCAAGACCATTCCAGCCGCTTTCGCGACG